TGGCAGAAGAAAACTTGAAGATATTGGCCATGTTTTAATTAAAATATGTATGAAGATATGATAAAATGGACTCTGGAGATGCATTATGGCTTTATGGGAGACTCCGAATGGACTCTGGGTATTTTTTTGGTAATGGTTTGCCCAAAATTTGAGGCCATAACCACACAAGTGCAAAGCATCAAACTGCTGATAACTTCAATCCACTGCCACAAGTAAAGCACAGAAAGGCGCATGGACGATGAAGTACTTTCTGAATTGTCAAGAAATTAATCGACTTGCCTTCTACTCTTCTTGTGGAATCAGCATCATCCCTTGCCTTGATTTTCCCTGAAATGTTAAAGTTAGAATAAAAAAGAAACCATCAAACCCAAAATAGATATCATATGCCATTAGCTTGACTTTCAAAACAATTATGGCAAGAAACCATTTAAAGGCACTGTAAAAAAATGAGAAGGTAGCTACCCAAAGGATCATTGGGGCTGATGGTAAAAAAACAAAAGGAGGTTCGATGAACTTCTGAGTTCGAGGCTTTCCAAGTATTAATACAGATGATCATTGGGGCTCTCACTCTATCGACAGATTAATTGAAGTACGCATAAACTGATCTAAACACCTCTGTTAAAAAAAAAAAAAAAAAAAAAAATGGGTGTAACAATCGTCTACCTATTTGACTTTGATAGATTTAGAAACTTGAAAAGTTACTACATTCTATTTGCGTCTATGTTGAAAATTAGATGTTTACCATGAAGATAAGGAAATACAATCAATGAAACAATCAAATTGATAGAGATTACACATATCATGTAAAGAGGGGTCGAATAGATTGATTATCAACGACTCGTCTCAATCAAACATGCACTTTCATGTTTAATTGATTGAAAATATAATTGAAGGATAACGATGTTATATGTTTTAAAGCTTTTTGCCATGGCTGTATGGGACAAAGACATGGTGTAACATCCGATAGTGCTACTGCTACTGTATCTTAGTGGGATTGGATGAATTGTGACTCTTAGGCCATGTTTAATTGATGGAATTGTATTGAAATGGAAAGCGAAATGAAAATAATGAATCGGGAATGGAATGCATTATAATTATATTGTTTACTTATAAGATGAAATATTGAGGGAATGAAATCAAATGTGTGGACTATGGACCATATGGTGGCATCCAGTTGTGCACAGCGGTGGCCAAGTAGCTGCCGCAATATGGCTTTAAGGCCAAATCGTGGCCAATTGCGGTTGACCGAGATTTGGCCTTGCCAAGGCAAATCCTGGCTGCCGGCCACTTTTTTATTTTATTTTTTTTTCTCTTAACTGTTGATCTTCTCATTTAATTTTTGAGTGAGGTTGGTTTTAAATTTCATTCTGGGTAATACAGTGTTTTTGGATTTTTAATTTTAACGGATGATGGTTTCGGATTTTCATACTTAAACACATCTCTCCTTAATCAAAATATGACAAAACGGACTCCGGAGATGCATTCTAGCTTTCTCGGAAAGTCCGAATGTACAAGTCTCATCATCAACATTGCTTATTATTTTTCTTTATAATACTCCATGAAGAAGTACCAAAGCATGGAGGGCCAAAGGGAAACTCAAAAGGCACTATATTACATTATGCTTAATTTTGATATCAACGACCTCGCATGTGCAAAATGCTAAGAAAGTCTTAGAAGTTATACGTGATTAATTATGAAAATTGATTGAGGGTTACTGTTATCACAACTGCATGCAAAGAATTAAAGTAAACGAGACGATGAGAATATTATAGTGGTTCATATGCTTAAAGCGAATCATACATTCATTGTTTTCTTTTATATGAGTGTTCTTGGTGATTAGCCAAGTTTGCAAGAGGTCGCAAACTGCAAACTGAATTACAAATGCTTAGTATTCTGAGAGAATATTAAACCAGTCTTTTTCCCGTGGCATGTCTTTGTTATTTTATTTATTGAATTCAGAGTGTTTGATCTCAATTTTTTTTTTTTTTTGGGGGGGGGCTGCCTATTTATACCTGTTCAAGATAATGATTATAAGTCTGTAAGTGGGTAGGTGTCGTGCAAATCTTTCTTAGCATCCCATTAGTTTATAAAATATCCTTAAATTAAATGGGGTTTGGACAGGTGTGCAAACAAAATTCATTTACAGACAAAACTTGAGCTGGCTGAGTTGTTGACAGCTATATTCTTCCTGTCTTGGAACGACATGGCAAGCTCTGGACGACATAAAGTCTTTCTGAACTCTGACTAGTGTTCGTTAACTTAAGCTTACGTCACTCATGATTTTTTTGGGCATACCAGTACACAACACCCAACTGGTGTTGCCAGGGAATTAAGTGATGCTGGATATTTATCTGTGACTGTTTTTGCCCAATGTTCGAGGCTGAAAACACACACTGTTCTATATGGACTCACATTATTGTGTTCCTCTCTGTTCAACACCATACAAGTTGCTAATCACTTGAATCCACAACCACAACCACAAGCAACGCAGATGAAAGGTGCATGGACATTGAAGTGCATTCTGAATAGTCACTCAAGAAAAATTAATCGCCTTTCCCTTGTGCTCTTCTTCTAGAATCAACATCATCACTTTGTTAATTAATCCAACAAGTAGTACAGCTCGTTTTGACTCTATCTGTTTGCAAGATATTCTCCACAGTTTTGCTCACGATCGGGAATCCTCATCTGTTCAACAAAGGGAGAAATTCAAGGCCCCACCCTTCAATAAAGTTGATACGAAAACCAGAATTTAATTAGCAATGTGACAAAGATCACCGTATATTGATGGGACCAACATAAATTTTTACATCGCTTGCATGCAGTGGAGGTGGGTGGGCCTGTTCATCACCAGTTGTTGATGATAGAAAATGTCAAGTGGGGATGTATTTGTCTCTTAAGTGTCTCCTGGAGACTGAGTTTCCCTCATGTTTGTGGCAGCAAACTTTCCAACAGTTTCGTATTCTAGTTTCATGTTGGCTTCCAAAAAAGAGGTTTGGCTAGAAAATTCACCTGACCCTACTGTTTTTTTATTTTTTATTTTATAAAGAATTATATAATTAGTGTTCATTTTCGAACAAAGGATGGCTTACACATGGTTTGATTCATTTCTGTCAAAGCTCCTTTTCGTTTTCAGAGAGTAGTTAATTTGTTTCATCGGCACCATGTGATTGTTCTTGTTCTTGACTATAACCCATACTGTATTCCAACAAGAAACAGAAAGAAAATCCCAATTGGATTAGCATTTGATGCAGATTATCGAATTCATAATTTACTTGGTCTTCATTGGTAGAATGTCGCTTCCACGTTAAAAAGTAACACCATTTAAATGGAAAATCTTCCATTTGAATAAGGACATCCATCAGGCTAACATGTTCCCACCAAGAAAATGATAACTCTAAACTCGTATTCCACTATTTTATTGGATTAACAATTGATGAGTTGAATGACCAAGAAGATCTTAGTTCCATTAATATTCAAGACTTTATTTTTTAAATTGACACGGAAATGGACAACATTTGCTATTATCTTCGGTACACCTTCATGTCTATGGCCCAGTTAACTCAGATCTTTCTCCAGCTATTTCATCTTTGATCAAGTAAAGAATTAAAATAGCTAGAGAGAGTCAATCATCAGAAGAGCATATATATATATATATATATATATGTATATGTATATAGTATGTCTGATTTGCTTTATTTATATATATCTTTCAATATTATAATGGCCCTCGTGTACGTGTCTGTCTTAAATTATCAATGAATTGTATGGAAAGACGTTTGTTCTCTTCAACAATGGCTCTATTATATACCTTTGTCTCAAAGTTGTGAACCCGTTTCCCTATTTTCGGTAAGTGCTTGTGGGGAACACACAGAGTTTTTCCAAGGCCAACAGCCCCTGATCCAGTGGAGCTTCACCTAATAAGAGAGAACATCTATGTTTCTGCTTTAAATGATCATGGTGATGGAAAAAAGTGAACATGACAGGCTAAAAATGAAGGAAAATTAGTTCACTTCATCGATCTTCTGTTGCAAGTAGGGCCATGTACTCATAATCTTCAAACTTTCTACTTGGTTAATTTATAGTCACATAATATCACCAGAAATAATTTTGGTCATATATTCACAGAGCTAAATACGACATTAATGTTAAAGCTTTGAAAAAGTACTACGACAACATGTCAAGTAGAGGTGTAGATTTCAGAGAAGATGAGATACCTCCGATGTGTATGAAATCCCATCAGAGCTTGCTGTCTTCCAAAATGATTCGAGTGCATGGTTCCAAACAGCAAGTTTATAAGCATCATCATCATATTCATAAATAATACATTGAATATAGGTAGATATTATCATAGGGAAAGAAAATCACTGATCAATTTATTGTGTCCTATCAGCTAAATAATATTGAAACCCCACAGGAGTGGACCATTTAACAAAAAGCATAGGATAGTCTAAAACTTTTTGTATTCCAAATGAGAAAGGATCTTCTTCTTTGTCATATTATCGTTAAACCCATTGCCCTCTCGCAAATTATTCTCTATATTTCATACTGTTTTATGTGGGCTCTTTTCTCTGTATTCATACCTAGTAAACTAGTTTTTCTGATCAGATAACCTTGAAGTATTGATATATCACATCCCACGCACAAACTGCAACTGGGTTTACTGTCAGCTTTGGAGGTCGGTTGCATTGATGCAAATGTATATATCAGAAACAAAATCATGCAGAAAGTTAAAATAAATAAACTTGAGTACAATGCGTATGACCAACCATGCACATGAACTTGAGTAAAATGCGTATTTAGCATCCCTGGCTCCTGGATTTGAGGACCCACTATCCATTTCCCAGTGGCCACATGATTTGATTTTGACAAACAATAGCTATAGCCAACCTGAATCTTGTACCTATCTCTGTGTTTCTCTCTTCCCACCTTTATTATCTCATACACGGCTTCGATCAACTATTATATTTCATTGCTAGCTCATATTAAGCATTACTCTTTAACATCTAGTAATTAAAACTAGCTCCTCTTCCACCATTTCTGTATAATCAGAGTGATCAAATTCAAAGCTTGGGACTCCTTAAAGAGAACACAGCATGAAGGTAAGACCGTGCATATTGTCAATATTCATAGAAGAAAGTTGATTATATAGTGTTCCATATTTAGTATTTTCAATCTCTTTGTTGCAGTTACTGGGTTGGATGCACAGGAAATTCCGGCAAAATAGCAGTGAGCCACTCAAAGATTTGGCACTTGGTAAGTCTTGCTCTGCCATTTAGATATCTTTCGTGCTAATATGTTACCACAGGCTGAGTAAAAGACCACTATAAGGGAATGCCTGACTATCCATGGTCAAATGAGAGATGAAGAATCAAACCCGGTGATTCTTCTAGCTGATTAGATTTATGGGACTCGTTATGTAAATATAACAGGCTGTTGCCCCTTTTCAGGCTGGCTCGTATGAATCTGGAAGCATAAAAAGTAACTTAACTATCCAGGACCCTATACAGCGCACACATACTAATAGAATTACTTTGACAAAGACCTCAAGTAAAATTTTACCCTTCCTGGCTGAATGCTAAAATGCGTGACTATTATAAAGCACTAAGATATTTGAACTATATATACTTGGAATATTACGTTGGTGTTAAAATGTAGAAACATAAAAACTGCGACATCACATCATGGCCAAAGAGAACAAATCAGAGGGTGTTCCTGGCGAAATCTGAAGGCAGAAATTTTTCTGCTTGTTAATCTGACCGTCGTCAGAGTTGTTTTCATTTATTTCTTTCATTGTTTCTTTAACATATTCTGTGTCAGGGAACGCTTGTTCTTGTCTTACAGGGCAACCCTCACTTGATGACCAACAAGGCTACCCGAAGCCAAACTATGGTGCCAAACCATTCCGGCAAGGCCAGAAAGAGCACCAGCTTCGAAACTCTTTCGCGGGCTTAGAAGCTGCCCGAGTAGAAGAAGAAGATTATGAAGATCAAGAAACTTCAGCTGCACTATCTGAACTATTCCATGGCTTTCTTGCAATTGGCACCCTTGGTTCTGAACCTAATGTTAATGTTCCATCGACACCAACATTTGGTATCTCTGTTGAGAATATAACTGAGAAGGAAACTGAAGTGACAGAAAATGAATTGAAGCTCATCAACGATGAGTTGGAGAAAGTTCTAGGAGCTGAAGCTAATAAAGAAGACGGCTGCAATGAGTCATCAGGGAGAAACAGTCACGTGAGTAATGGAAGGAGCAGTCATGGAAGCACCATTACTCTTAGTGGGAAGCCATTGGAAGGCTCAGACAACAATGGGAATGGATTTACGGTGTGTCCACTCCAGGGATATCTTTTCGGTTCAGCAATTGAATTGTCTGAAACCACAACGGTGGCAAAGAAGGAACATAGAACATCGCTTGGAGAGCTTTTCCAGAGGACTAAAGTAGCTGAGGAGAATCCTAATTCCGGAAGTAAATACGAGAGGGAGGAGAAGCGAACAGACAAAGAAGCAGATAAATCAGCTGTACAACTTATGAAAAAGATGTTAAAGAAAAAAATGCTTCATGCTTCCAGGAGCACCACTGGTGGAGGTGTTGATTCTGCTTCAGCAGAAACAAAACTGCACAAGGTATTGTTACAAAAAGTACTATAAATTCAGCCAAATGGTTCTCATTTACATTTCAAGTATATAATTTTAATAATCTGTACCATAAAATTCATGAATTAAGCTACATATTCAACATTACTTTTTCATCTTAACCATTCTGCTTCTGGCTTTTATGTTTTTGGTGATTCTGAAATGTGTGGTATGCAGATCCTGCATATGTTCCATAGGAAAGTTCACCCTGAGAGTTCCACAACCACAAAAAAGAATGATAAGCCCCCAAAAAAAAAGAACAGAAAGAGTATGGGGTATGAAGGAGGAGTAGACAATGGAGGTCAGATGGTCCCAGATGAAGACATCATGATATTTCCTCAGAGAAACCTCTCTAAAGAAAAGATAAGACGCTACAAGAGCCAATCCAACCCACCACAATTCACACTTGGTGGCTGTGACTCAAATGGAAACAGAGAGTACTGGATCAAAACAGACGCTGACTGTAAGTACACAACCATTTCCTATTCCCAAGTTTCACTATGCAACCACATTTTCGTTCTTTCTGTTGTTTAAACTTTAAACACCATACTTATCCATTCTTTGCATATACAAAATATATATAACATTATTTACTTTCTCTTTTGTATATTTAATCTTCAATAAATATATAGGTAAAAACATCTCATAAGATGGATATACAGATGACATGATATGTCTGTCTCAGTGAAGACTTTCTTTTTAGTCACTGAATATATATCACATGCATAATGTTACGATTATTTTGATACTAATTTTCCTAGCCAATGTCTTGATTCAATTATATGGAATAACTTGCATTGTAGACCTGGTGTTGGAGCTCTAAGAGGAAGAGGCTGAGGAAGAAGAAGTCTAAGTGTGAAGAAGCATAATTATGTTTGTAAGAATGTCATTATATAAGTGGTTGTGGGTAGTAATATATAAGCATGTGAGTGATTATTATAATTAAGAAGAGCTTGAATGAAACAAATAAATAAAGGAGGCACTCCTCCTAGAAACCTCCCTGTGGCTATGAATGATCTATGGTTCTATATATGTAATGGAAGGTGTAATCCTGCTTTTGGTAAAACATATTTTGACAATATGATCAGTTTTATTCCGCATCATCAAATTTGCCTCTTTTCTCATATGTTCAAAAGACAAATCACAAGACTACAAATATATGTTTGCCTCTAGCTGCCTAACCTTTTATATCTTAGCTATTCATGAATGACCAGACAAGTGGCTGTGGCTCATAAAAAATAAATCATCCTAGCATCTGCATCAACTTCAACTTCCCTCTTTCTTGTTAACTTTTTCAATGTAATTCATAGGTATAATCCATATATAGAAACAAGCATCTTAATTAAGGCAAAACGGAATCTCCTTCTTCAGTCAAATTAAGCGAACGAAAAGATGAAAACTTGGACCCTCCCACACAAAAGTTCATAGGTGAGGGCGACTGTAGAGCGTCGGCATTTTGATGCTTTTTCATCTTGACAAAATGGTGTACACATTCCGATGAATTCATCTAATTTCCTCTGTAGTATGATTTTCCAGATTGTGCAATCCCATATTATTAGATTAACTTTAGTAAAGGCCTGCTTTGTAAATCTAAGTGGATCAACATTGTTTTTGATATGAGAATGGCTATAATAATAAAATTGCAAGAAGTGAGCTCAAACGGGTAAAAAAAATCTACACGGAAACTAGAGTAAACAATCAAGATAAAGCGTAGGTATATCATTTATTAGTACAGTTTTCTAACATAGTTTAAATTCAGGGGACTCGTGTGAGAGATGAACATTAATAAAATCAAAGTACATTGAATCAGAAGTATGTGAACAATCAGGATGGAATGTGACTAGCATGTAGAATCCATATAATTTACCAACAATTCCGAAACCATGCCTCTATCTGGCATCTTTCCTGCAGCACCATATATTGGTGCTAGGCCACCACTTATTGGACCTGGATTTGCTTTCACCGTAAATTTTACCCTTCCTGGCTGAATGCTAAAATGCATGATTGTTATAAAGCACTAAGTATTTGAACATATATAATGGAATGTTACGTTGGTTTTATGTAGAAACATAAAAACTGCGACATCACATCATGGCCAAAGAGAACAAATCAGAGGGTGTTCCCGGCGAAATCTGAAGGCAGAAATTTTTCTGCTTTTAATCTGCCGTCGTCAGAGTTGTTTTCATTATTTTCTTTCATTGTTTCTTTAACATATTCTGTGTCAGGGAACGCTTGTTCTTGTCTTACAGGGCAACCCTCACTTGATGACCAACAAGGCTACCCGAAGCCAAACTATGGTGCCAAACATTCAGGCAAGGCCAGAGAGAGCACCAGCTTCGAAACTCTTTCGCGGGCTTAGAAGCTCCAGTAGAAGAAGAAGATTATGAAGATCAAGAACTTCAGCTGCACTATCTGACCTATTCCATGGCTTTCTTGCAATTGGCACCCTTGGTTCTGAACCTAATGTTAATGTTCCATCGACACCAACATTTGGTATCTCTGATCATAGGGAAAGAAAATCACTGATCAATTTATTGTGTCCTATCCGTTAAATAATGAGAGAACGACATGTTTCCACCCAAAGTTTGGCGAAACGACAATTTTCCACCCATCAAGTTTCAAAACGACATTTTCCCACCCACAGTCCGTTAACTTTAACTAAAAAAAGGATAGAATGGTAAATTTAAAAACCAGATATAGGGTATTTATGTCATTTTATCTCTTAAACATAAACTTTTGAAAAAAATACCCTGAATCAAACGCTTCCTTCTTCACCCCATTGCCGCTCTCCACAACTTTTCCTATCAACGCCATTATCGGTCAAGCTCTCACCTATGTTCAGTTCATCTGCCAAGTTAACTCTCTCTGCTTCTCACTCAAGACACACTACTCTCTCTGCCAAATGATATCACTTTCATCATTTCCCCTCCCCCACCAATTGCCCAGATCTGGCATTGTATTGTTGTCTTTTGGGAAAATGGGTTGTTTTTTGTTTATTGAATTGTTGGGGAATTGATGGGATCAGAGAAGTGATGGTAAAAAGGGAATCGCACCAGATCCGCGTCAATTTGGCCGGATGCGATTTGGTCGCCAAGGTATTGGAAGCTATTCTCATGAGAGGTCATGTTGAGGAAGCCCTTGGACGCATTGATCTACTGATGCACAATGCTTGTGCACCCAATTTTGGTAGTCTTCTATATATTCTATCTGAGAAAGGGAAGACCGTTGTTGCTCTGAAGTTGTTGTATGTCAAAGAGAGTAGTTTTGCCTTTTTATCTCCCTTTCTAATTTTAGTGTAGTTTTTCAAGTAGAGAACTTTTGCTTGAAATTTTTAGATTGAGAATGATTCGAAGAGCTCTATCTTGATCAGAATAACTTGTGAAAAACATAATGTCATTTGTTCAGAATTTGAAAGGTGTAACACCGCACTAATCGTCTTACTATACCGCATGAAAGTTTTGCTTCATATTTCTGAAAATCCAGTTCTATGTTCAAGCTTGCACAGTCATTCTAACATAAATATTTTAATACTATTTGCAGCTTTGGAAAGGATGATTTGTTTTTAAAATCAGTTTTTTTGTCGCAATGTTAATATTGTAACACAATCTAGTGAACCTAAAGCAAAGTCAGGCTTCCAGGTAAGGTGCAAATCGGCAGCCTATTTTTGCGAAGGAGAAAGAAGAAAAAAGAGAAGGGTAGTTTTGTCTTTACACTGTTTATACATGTTAAAGAACAGATTTTTATGACTGAACATAACGGTAGGTGGGAAAGTGTCGTTTTGAAACTTGGCGGGTGGAAAAGTGTCTTTTCGTCGAACCTTGGGTGGGAGCATGTGGTTCTCCCTTAAATAATATTGAAACCCCACAGGAGTGGACCATTTAACAAAAAGCATAGGATAGTCTAAAACTTTTTGTACTCCAAATGAGAAAAGATCTTCTTCTTTGTCATATAATCTTTAAACCCATTGCCCTCTGGCAAATTATTCTCTATATTTCATACTGTTTTATGTGGGCTCTTTTCTCTGTATTCATACCTAGTAAACTAGTTTTTCTGATCAGATAACCGTAAAGTATTGATATATCACATCCCACGCACAAACTGCAACTGGGTTTACTGTCAGCTTTGGAGGTCGGTTGCATTGATACAAATTTATATATCTGAAACAAAATCATGCAGAAAGTTAAAATAAATAAACTTGAGTACAATGCGTATGACCAACCATGCACATGAACTTGAGTAAAATGCGTATTTAGCATCCCTGGCTCCTGGATTTGAGGACCCACGATCCATTTCCCAGTGGCCACATGATTTGATTTTGACAAACAATAGCTATAGCCAACCTGAATCTTGTAACTATCTCTGTGTTTCTCTCTTCCCACCTTTATTATCTCATACACGGCTTCGAACAACTATTATATTTCATTTCTAGCTCATATTAAGCATTACTCTTTAACATCTAGTAATTAAAACTAGCTCCTCTTCCACCATTTCTGTATAATCAGAGTGATCAAACTCAAAGCTTGGGACTCCTTAAAGAGAACACAGCATGAAGGTAAGACCGTGCATATTGTCAATATTCATAGAAGAAAGTTGATTATATAGTGTTCCATATTTAATATTTTCAATCTCTTTGTTGCAGTTACTGGGTTGGATGCACCGGAAATTCCGGCAAAATAGCAGTGAGCCACTCAAAGATTTGGCACTTGGTAAGTCTTGCTCTGCCATTTAGATATCTTTCGTGCTAATATGTTACCACAGGCCGAGTAAATGACCATTATAAGGGAATACCTGACTATCCATGGTCAAATGAGGGATGAAGAATCAAACCCGGTGATTCTTCTAGCTGATTAGATTTATGGGACTCGTTATGTAAATATAACAGGCTGTTGCCCCTTTTCAGGCTGGCTCGTATGAATCTGGAAGCATAAAAAGTAACTTAACTATCCAGGACCCTATACAGCGCACACATACTAATAGAATTACTTTGACAAAGACCTCAAGTAAAATTTTACCCTTCCTGGCTGAATGCTAAAATGCGTGACTATTATAAAGCACTAAGATATTTGAACTATATATACTTGGAATATTACGTTGGTGTTAAAATGTAGAAACATAAAAACTGAGACATCACATCATGGCCAAAGAGAACAAATCAGAGGGTGTTCCCGGCGAAATCTGAAGGCAGAAATTTTTCTGCTTGTTAATCTGGCCGTCGTCAGAGTTGTTTTCATTTATTTCTTTCATTGTTTCTTTAACATATTCTGTGTCAGGGAACGCTTGTTCTTGTCTTACAGGGCAACCCTCACTTGATGACCAACAAGGCTACCCGAAGCCAAACTATGGTGCCAAACCATTCAGGCAAGGCCAGAGAGAGCACCAGCTTCGAAACTCTTTCGCGGGCTTAGAAGCTGCCCGAGTAGAAGAAGAAGATTATGAAGATCAAGAAACTTCAGCTGCACTATCTGAACTATTCCATGGCTTTCTTGCAATTGGCACCCTTGGTTCTGAACCTAATGTTAATGTTCCATCGACACCAACATTTGGTATCTCTGTTGAGAATATAACTGAGAAGGAAACTGAAGCAACAGAAAATGAATTGAAGCTCATCAACGATGAGTTGGAGAAAGTTCTAGGAGCTGAAGCTAATAAAGAAGACGGCTGCAATGAGTCATCAGGGAGAAACAGTCACGTGAGTAATGGAAGGAGCAGTCATGGAAGCACCATTACTCTTAGTGGGAAGCCATTGGAAGGCTCAGACAACAATGGGAATGGATTTACGGTGTGTCCACTCCAGGGATATCTTTTCGGTTCAGCAATTGAATTGTCTGAAACTACAACGGTGGCAAAAAAGGAACATAGAACATCGCTTGGAGAGCTTTTCCAGAGGACTAAAGTAGCTGAGGAGAATCCTAATTCCGGAAGTAAATACGAGAGGGAGGAGAAGCGAACAGACAAAGAAGCAGATAAATCAGCTGTACAACTTATGAAAAAGATGTTAAAGAAAAAAATGCTTCATGCTTCCAGGAGCACCACTGGTGGAGGTGTTGATTCTGCTTCAGCAGAAACAAAACTGCACAAGGTATTGTTACAAAAAGTACTATAAATTCAGCCAAATGGTTCTCATTTACATTTCAAGTATATAATTTTAATAATCTGTACCATAAAATTCATGAATTAAGCTACATATTCAACATTACTTTTTCATCTTAACCATTCTGCTTCTGGCTTTTATGTTTTTGGTGATTCTGAAATGTGTGGTATGCAGATCCTGCATATGTTCCATAGGAAAGTTCACCCTGAGAGTTCCACAACCACAAAAAAGAATGATAAGCCCCCAAAAAAAAAGAACAGAAAGAGTATGGGGTATGAAGGAGGAGTAGACAATGGAGGTCAGATGGTCCCAGATGAAGACATTATGATATTTCCTCAGAGAAACCTCTCTAAAGAAAAGATAAGACGCTACAAGAGCCAATCCAACCCACCACAATTCACACTTGGTGGCTGTGACTCAAATGGAAACAGAGAGTACTGGATCAAAACAGACGCTGACTGTAAGTACACAACCATTTCCTATTCCCAAGTTTCACTATGCAACCACATTTTCGTTCTTTCTGTTGTTTAAACTTTAAACACCATACTTATCCATTCTTTGCATATACAAAATATATATAACATTATTTACTTTCTCTTTTGTATATTTAATCTTCAATAAATATATAGGTAAAAACATCTCATAAGATGGATATACAGATGACATGATATGTCTGTCTCAGTGAAGACTTTCTTTTTAGTCACTGAATATATATCACATGCATAATGTTACGATTATTTTGATACTAATTTTCCTAGCCAATGTCTTGATTCAATTATATGGAATAACTTGCATTGTAGACCTGGTGTTGGAGCTCTAAGAGGAAGAGGCTGAGGAAGAAGAAGTCTAAGTGTGAAGAAGCATAATTATGTTTGTAAGAATGTCATTATATAAGTGGTTGTGGGTAGTAATATATAAGCATGTGAGTGATTATTATAATTAAGAAGAGCTTGAATGAAACAAATAAATAAAGGAGGCACTCCTCCTAGAAACCTCCCTGTGGCTATGAATGATCTATGGTTCTATATATGTAATGGAAGGTGTAATCCTGCTTTTGGTAAAACATATTTTGACAATATGATCAGTTTTATTCCGCATCATCAAATTTGCCTCTTTTCTCATATGTTCAAAAGACAAATCACAAGACTACAAATATATGTTTGCCTCTAGCTGCCTAACCTTTTATATCTTAGCTATTCATGAATGACCAGACAAGTGGCTGTGGCTCATAAAAAATAAATCATCCTAGCATCTGCATCAACTTCAACTTCCCTCTTTCTTGTTAACTTTTTCAATGTAATTCATAGGTATAATCCATATATAGAAACAAGCATCTTAATTAAGGCAAAACGGAATCTCCTTCTTCAGTCAAATTAAGCGAACGAAAAGATGAAAACTTGGACCCTCCCACACAAAAGTTCATAGGTGAGGGCGACTGTAGAGCGTCGGCATTTTGATGCTTTTTCATCTTGACAAAATGGTGTACACATTCCGATGAATTCATCTAATTTCCTCTGTAGTATGATTTTCCAGATTGTGCAATCCCATATTATTAGATTAACTTTAGTAAAGGCCTGCTTTGTAAATCTAAGTGGATCAACATTGTTTTTGATATGAGAATGGCTATAATAATAAAATTGCAAGAAGTGAGCTCAAACGGGTAAAAAAAATCTACACGGAAACTAGAGTAAACAATCAAGATAAAGCGTAGGTATATCATTTATTAGTACAGTTTTCTAACATAGTTTAAATTCAGGGGACTCGTGTGAGAGATGAACATTAATAAAATCAAAGTACATTGAATCAGAAGTATGTGAACAATCAGGATGGAATGTGACTAGCATGTAGAATCCATATAATTTACCAACAATTCCGAAACCATGCCTCTATCTGGCATCTTTCCTGCAGCACCATATATTGGTGCTAGGCCACCACTTATTGGACCTGGATTTGCTTTCACCTGAAACAAATAAATTAAAGCACTCTGTTAGTTACCGGCACCAAGAAGCCAATCGCTATCTCTCCTCACAATCAGCAGATCAGTGCGTCGTATATTACAATTATCACAGTAAATAGATGTTCCTTTCACTACATAGTAGAGATAATTTTGTATATTGATGGTGGAAAACTACTTACAGTTTGCACAGATTCTCTCAAATCTTGGAGGAAGTCGTCAACCACTGACACATGTTGAAGGGTAACACAGATGTGAATGCTGATTTAAACACACACACCCCAAAAAAACAAAAAAAAAAACAAAAAAACATAGAAGCATTTCAGTATCTAAAATAGATCAAGCTATAAAACATATTTATACTGAAAAAGGAACTCATGTTGCTAGTTTTGAACCATTAAGACTGCCCAAGAAATATAAAATCAATTCATTGATGCCATCAAGCAATTCAAATTAAAAGGATGATAAATGGATACAACAATGCCACTCAGTCATATTTCCTCATGCTTAAAGAGGTCACCTGTTGGGTTTCTGTAATGCATTCAAATGCCAGCCCTTGGAAGACAAAATATCATTCACTTCAAATATATCAAGAACATCAGATCCAAATGCCACAATTGTCATGTCTGGTCTTCCAATTATAGATAATTCAGTAATCTCCTTTATTCTGCACATAAAACAGCTGTTATTATCGATGGTACAACATTTTCAAACAGGGGAGAAGAAAGTTTAAAACAAAACTGACCCCTTCTGAATGCTCTTTGACACTTCCATTATGGCTTTTGTGTTCTCCAAGTATCCTACAGTATATAATATCATAATCAGCATTAGTAATAACATCAAGTAATCATTAAATTTCTTCAAGAATGCATCTGTTCTGTCACCTTCTTGTCCAAGAGACATCATTGCAGCCCAAGCCCCAGCAATCAAACCCCCCGGCCTGCTTCCAGCTATGGTTGGAGACACATATAGCCCACCTGACCACTCAGTAACTGCAGCAAGGGCATAAACAAAACAGAAGTAGATGTCATAAGCATAAGCTTTAAAACCATGGTCTATTGTAGCACAAACTAAAAACTTATACCTTAGGAACCAAATAAAACAGTTCCACCTGGTATCAAAGTCAGGCATAACCCAGTCTAAGACTAGTGCAATATTTATTTACTAGACCAGTCGGCTGTTTATGTCAAAATGCATGACCAAAGCAATAAAAAAATAGACAATTATACAGTTGTTATAACAAGTTATTTTTTAAGGTGAGTACTTACCAGCAACAAATTGATGCTGTAGAAATACGAGAATCCAAGAACCCACGATTCATATAATTAGTATCCCGCCAACCCCGATAACATGAAAAGCAAAGCATATTAGGAAGAAATTAAGGAGAAGAACCAGCAAATAGATTACTGATTCCTAACCAGATCCAGTCAATAAAGTAATATAATTTCAAAGTGATTGAACACCAATCTGAACTAGTAATGTCATTCCATGACTTAAACCAGATTTTTTTTAGAACCAACAATTGAATCATATTGATAGAGCCATAGGACATTAAGGCATGTTAGCCAAAAACATGTTTTGTCTTTGTAGAGACACTTAACTTTGTCCTGACAAATTTGTCCATCCACATAAATATACTTAAGAATTAGGCATAACTATAGGTATGGAAATTGAAAATTAAAATTTGATAATAAACAATGGCAATAATCTGTGCCAGTACCTAATTATGGATCCAAACAGTTTTCCAAAAATTTGAAACATGTTCAACAATTACCTTTCTTATTTCATGATTTCTGTATAAAACTACACTGGTTCCTTTTGGAGCCAGTCCATATTTATGCACATCCACTGATATTGAGGTTACTCCTTGAACAGAAAAGTCAAATGGTGGAATTGGGTACCTATTAAGAAAAAGGACTCAATAATTGCCAAACAATTACAGCCAGCCAACAAAAGGCAGACTGCAGAATGTTGTTAAAAGCTTGTTTTACAAAATATATAGTCCACTTCCCCAAAAGAAAGAAAGAAAGAAAATTGTGAATGAATGTTCACATGAGTGATGAGAGAGAGTACAATAAACATATTATCACATTAGAAGTAAATCCACAAGGTCTACCCAATTATGCTTCAGAATCAAAATAAAATCGTACTGCATTCAATTGTAAGTCCAAGAATTAAAGCTTAAAGATCACACAATATTCTGAGCTCTAATTAAACACGACGTAAAATATATATATATATATATATATATATATATATATACATATTATAATATATATATATATATTTCTGACAAAATTATATTACTGTTACCCCAGACATACATGCTCAACTATATATACAAAGCTCTTGACTTATTGAAAATGTTGAAGAAACATAGCACAGCTTTTAGAAATGATTAATCAAGAGATGACCTGACAATAACAAACCAAGCAGACGTACCCAAGTTTTCGAGCAAAAGGCAACACAAAGCCACCAAGACAGAGGTCAACATGGAGACATATACCATAGCTAGAAGCCAGTTCGCCAAGCTCCTACAAGGTAAATTGCCATAGTTCCTCAATCAAGAATTAAAAAGATAATCACATATAAGACTCATGCTTCACAAGCAGTATTACTACAGGAAAAAATGAAGGAGATCACACACCTCAATTGGGTCGATGATGCCATGAGGAAACCCAGGTGCAGATCCAACAATCTGTACCATCAAAAAATTTAGGAGAGATCCCTTTGTTGAGACACACCACAAAATATAGAATTTAACTGATAGTAAAAATAACCAAAAAATGTGATGATTTTTTTTTTCTGTAGAATCTTGGAAACAGGATAGTTAATTTGAAGTATGCAGATTATCACAGATTAACGAGAAGCAAATGAAAACAAGCAAATAATCATTACAAAGCATGATCTAGAAATGTATACCAAAATGGTGTTTTTGTTAATGTATCGTCTTATTGCTTTGACATCAGCTTGAAATTCTTTATTAACAGGAACACGCCACAGCTTGACATTAAAATATTGCGCTGCTTTATCATATGCTGAGTGAGCAGATTCAGGTATGATCCTGTGCTTGAAACGAAATACATTCAGAGTAATAATTCTCTAATCAGAAATACACTTAAAAAAAGATGGAAGTAAAACATCAGGAATCACATACATTTCAGGCCTTGTAATTCCCTTCTTATTTTTCATGTAGTCACGGGATGATTTAACAGCTAATAATATGCTCTCAGTTCCTCCTGATGTCATGTTTCCACATACTTGTCCTCCAGAAGCCTTTTCTTTATTGCCCAGTAGAGCAGCCGTCATTGCAACTACTTCTGCCTCAAACCGGGCTACACTCTGGAATACATCCAAATGCAATGGATTGGTATGCGCAAACCTGTGAATAAATTTAGCAAAAGTTCATATGAGAGTTAACAGAAGGATGTGGACAGGAAACGAATGGAATGATAAGAAAAAACTCTCTGCATCTTCAAATGAAATATTAAATAGAGATCATTACTGCACCATATATTACTAACATTGAACATGCCTCATTTATCAAGGAAAAATGTCCTTCAGATTCACTTCCTGCAATGTAGCTGCAACAAAACAATAATCCAGAGCATATCAAGGCTCAACACTATTCAAGCAGAACTGAAAGTCCAATATTCAGAACACAAATAAAGAGTTACAATCACAATAATTACAAACATACACTGTACCGGAACATTTTCCTTGCCAAACTACATCTTTTGCTTTTTCCTCTTTCATTGTCTCAATGACCGTTGCTCCTAAGCCCGCAGAGGGCAACTCTTTCCTCCAACCCTCTCGTTTAGATTTAACACCAGACTGCATCTTATCCACAACCTGAACATCACATTTAAAGAGAGAACACAAATCTCACTTTCAGAAGTGTGGCTGATTTTATATATCAATAAAGAAAAAACCAAGCACATCTATTACTCTATCATCCACAGTGCTTAGAAAAATAAGAGAAAAGTGTGAGTTGTGCAACATCCATCCAATAAATCTATACTACTTATGCAAATTAGTGAACAAGGGATTTGTAAAATAGTCCACGTATCAGATATCATCACTCATCAGACCATTGATATTAAACTTCTATACTCAATTTTCAGGACCCGCCAATAAGAAAAAAAGTTATGACACAATCAGTATGAAACTGCGTATCTCTAACAATAAACAGCCTTGAAAACTACAACGCAGCTCATTAAATACATTTACAAACTCGTTTCATTTATTGCTAAGCAAAATACACTATTCACATGATTTCAGTGACAGAATTGACCCCACAAATCAATTAAAAAAGAATTCCAATGAAATTATAAAAAAAAAATTCCAAAAAGAAAATAAAAACTATATATAAAATAAGAAACATCTCTGACCTTCTGTTTCTCCGCTTCAATGTAACTATTAACACCAGGAATCAACCTGCAGAAATAAAAAAAACAATTTAAATCAGATTCATTAATTACTAAACAGAAATGTTAAAAAATTAAAGAAAAAAGAGAGTGAACTACTTGATAGTACTCATGGAAAACCCTATGATGGTTTGTTTGAATCCTTTCTCGTGAACAACGTGAAGAAACGATTGCAGAACACGCCCGACGAAGAGAGTGAGAAAAGCGGTGAGAAACAGTGCGAGAGGCTCGTACTTGGACAAGAAGGAATTAGCAGAAGCTCTCAAATCAATCAATAATGAGAAATCCATTACCAACAGTTGGATACTGAGCAAGCAATTCTGAGAAAATAAAATTAGAAATGGATGGATTTGGATTGACGAGTGTTTTAACGTTCGCTTTATCGCGTGTGAGATCCGTCCTTTTGTTTTTATTTATTTATTTTGGCGCGGTTGCGTCTGTTTAGGCGTTTGTTTTGGATAAATGTTTTTGGTTCCATTGAAGATCATCACAGATGCTTGTCGGTTGTCGCGTAGGTAAATAATATGATTATTCAGTTCAATGAATTATTTAGAAAGCAAATATCTCAAATTGATTTGACTTAATATTAAAAACTTATTTCATATATTTAAGTTATATTTTTTAATACTCTGCAGATAAGATGGATCCATTCATAAATCAGGCAGTGAAATAAAGGCTGAAGTTCATAGACTTTAGATATTGGGCTGGGTTCATGACAGTTTTCAGTTGAAAAGCCCATGTATTAAACAGAAAGAGACATACATAAATTCAAAATTTTAATTTCAATCATTTAAAATATATTGATTCAATATATTAAAAATCATACTATATCTTTGTTTGAAGATCCTAAGCAATATGGTTTTTATAATTAATATCAATTAGGATATAAAAACTTAGAAACAAGCTTAAAATGTGAGATATATTCTTCAAACTGAACAAGAACGTCAATCATTTGTTGCTCAATCACATCCGTAATTTAACTGATGGTAACTTTATAATTAAAAAAAAAAGTCAACGACGCATTCTAGCGGCAAATAGACAATAAACTCGGTCAAAGCTATTGGAGTTTTTGAAAATGGGAGACTGATGAATATTTTGGTGGTAGAATGTTGGATTTTGGTGGTTTGATTTGGGAGGGGTGGTTGCGCAAACTCTAATCACTCAATTGTTGGCGGTTGGCAAAAGAAAGGTTTAAGGGGTTTTGGTGAGTAATGATCGAGGAAGAAAATGATGGTTGTGTGAGGTCACAACGATGCCGAAATCGAAAACGAAATATAAATTTGGATAGTAAAGTGGTATTTTAAAGGTCTATAAGTAGAAAAGTATCATTAAGTCATTATTTGGGTGAAAAAAGTCGTTTACTCTTTAAAAAATAGATGGGAGCAGGGCGACATTACCCTGAGCATAAAAAATTAATTAAATTGAGATATACAGCTTAAAAAATTAATGGAATTTGTCTAAAATTAAATTACTAATTGTAGTTAAATAAGGACATTCATGTATATGTTTTTGTAATTTAATTGTAGTTTGTTAATGCTTGATTTTGACACCAATGATTTGCATGTACAAAGTGCTAAGCTGGCTTGGAAATTACACGTGAATGGAAAATGCAACGAAGTAAATGGAAGATGATTTTTAAAGTGGTTCGGATGCTTAAAGCGAATCTTACATCTACTGTTCTTTTATATTTATGAGGTTATAGGCGGTCACGTACAGAGAATAGCGAGCAAAGGTACAAGTGACTGATTATTCAGAGAGAATACCAAGTCAGTCTCTTTCTCGCATGTTATCTGTGTTTTGAGAGTAAAATGTTACAATCAGAATCCCGAAAATGAGAGGGGGGATCCTCTATTTATAGTAAAAGGTTTCAAGGTAATGATTACAAGTCTACACGTGAGCAGGTATAGTACAATTCATATTGTGCTTCCCATTGGCTGATTACACAGCAGATATCCTCAAATCACGTAGGGTTTGGACATGTGAGCGACTCTCATCCACTCGTAAACAAAGTCTAAGTCTGCCACAACTATACTCTTTCTTTCTTTTGACAATGTGACAACTCTTGGACGGCACAAAGTCTTTATAAACTCTGAATGACGCTGTCTGAAGTAAGCTCCCGTCAGCCCTTATTCTTTCGACATAACATAATTAAATAAGGACATTCATGTATATATTTTTGTAAATATGACGAGGTTGATTGAAACAGCTGATTGTTTCAAACGTCAAATTAATTAATTCCAAAAATCCAAAAGTCGCAAACCCTTTTTCAAATTTTTGTTCACAGTTTGACACCATTTTTTCTCTAAATTCCAGGTCAAGTTATTGGTTGGGGTTTTCCTGTTAACTTCAATAACCACTCTCATGATAATCATTAATTTTCCGAGATAATTATACTCTTTAGTGAACGTAATTAACAGCTGACTCATACTGCATTAATGAATTTCATTTATCAAACCAAGCAAAGCCCTTTGAGAAACACAAACGTTTCTCAAACTTTTGAAAGATTGTTTGTAGTATAATGATAATAATAAATTATTGGAAACAGTCAAACCATATATACCAAGTGATTGTAACAGGGGGTTAGGTGCAGAGAATTAATTTATCTCTTTTGATTAGTCAAGAAAGGCATACGAAAACTTCTTAAATACATATACTTCACCATAATGGCTCTTTGGCTGCGGCACTATCAATATAAAAATTATTGGCTGGAATAGTGATAAAAGAAAACCTGCCGCCTGCACGAACATATAGTAGATTTTGAAGAATGGAGCCACCAAACTTTTCAAATGGATTATTTAATCCACAACGTGTTCAATGGCATATGAATTGGACTCAAATTATTGTAAAAGATTTGATAATCTTTAGCTTCAAGAAAAAAGATTTTCGTCAAACAGTTGAACTTCTCAATAGTCGTAGTATTTGACTATTTGCTTTTCGTTGCCATGCTAATGGGGTCGAGCTTATCTGGTACATGTCATCTTTCTAGGAAGATCAGAAAAATAATAAATAAAAAATTACTTCACAAATTCGAAGATGTACCAGAAAGATTAATTTATTTAATTAAGGAGCCCGTTAAATTAATAAACAACAGCCAACAGTTAACTTGTTTGTTGCAGTTGTATATCAAGGGACAAGGGTTATTATCATAGAATTAAAGTATTGTTTAAATTATCAAAACCTCTCAAAACAAGGAGCTTAAATATCAAAACCAGATGTATTAGTTTACTTTTTTCGGTTTAATTACCAAAGATCGTCCCAAAATTATTAAACCTATGTAACAAGGAGCTTATAATACTTTTTTTTAGAAGAACAAACCATTAAATACATTTTACCTTTCCAAGAAGAACGAGAAAAAATAAATAAATAACTCTACGTAACTCTTTACAGTTGTTGATGCTCAGTTTTTGCACCAACGAATTTTTACGTGTATAATGTTGATTGGCTGTTCAATACACATGAAAATGGAATATATGAAAAGTGAAATAAATGTAGAGGGAGTTTTTTAAGTGGTTCGGATGCCAAGGTAGCAAGTCCTACATCCACTGATTTGTATTGATATTAGTGTGTGTCAGGTCGCGGTCGCGAACTGACTCACATAAGACGAAAAAGTCAAAAGAAAGGATTACAAGAGAGAGATTTCTTTGTATGAGAAATGGTCGAATCCCCCTAATGAAGGGGTCCTCCTCACTTTATACTGGACTGAAGCGTATAATCATCACTAAATCCATGGTTTGGTGTGATTGTCAGTATGTAATCCGGCTTTACGTCCCATTTTCCCTTTTTCCAAGCTGACATCGCACGACTTGTTGCAGGAAAAAGGACGCGTGTGGGCTCCATATCACTTGGCAGGTCTGACGTGTGCGTGCTGCTCTGACGGGAGCAGGTCGTCCTTCACGTGACTTTCCCACGTCAGCCCTTTATTTCCTTGGGCATAACAACAGTTGCATTAATTATTATAAAATGCACAAGAACATGATCAATTTAATTAAAACGTGAACCCTAAGATGTTAGTATGGCGGTCAAGGAGTACTTTTGCTCCCTTCATTGATTTTCTGGGTTCGAATCTTAGGGTCATCTATCATATTGTAACTTACTTAGTCCTTTGGGCTTGTAAAGTGTTCAATGAACTTTGAGAATTAATCGAAGTACGCACAAACTGGCCTAGATACCTCGGTTATAAAAAAAAAAAATTAATTAAAATGTGTTAAATTAAAGTATAACATCCAATACTAACTTATTACAGTTGTATCAGTTCTTATAAAATACACAAAGGGGGCGTTTGGACATATATTGTTTTATTATAAGAGAATATTATATTAACGGAAAGAAACATCACATTAAAGATTATTAAAAATGTTTAGAAAATGTGTTTGGTTGGTTCAAATAAATTGGTGAATAATATATTTGGTTGGGAGAATAAATGGATTGGTATATTATATATATTACTAAATTGCCCTTCTTAAATATTAATATAATAGTATTTTTTTTTAAATCATTATTTTAACTCCTTACATTTGAAATTTTACTAAAACACCTCAGTTATATAAAACTTTAATTTGTAGCAAAATCATCCCAAACCACTGCCGGCAGCCAGCCACCATCATCAGTTGTCGCCTGCAGTCAACAGAATGGCGCACGAATGGCCCTATATGGTCGTTCGTGCACCAGCAAAGCCGAAAATGGCCATGGATCACAAATTCATGGCCGGAAAACAGCCAGATCCCACCGGTCGTTCACCATTACGGTGATCGACGTTGACGGCCGACGGTAGTCTTGGGTGGCTGAGGGTATTTTGTTAACTTTTAAACTTTTTTGTGACTGAGGTGTTTTAGCTAATTTCTCAAATGTATGGGGGTTGGCTAATTGTTATTTGGTAGACATTTGAAGGCAATTGTGTCAAAAATGGTTTTTAATTAAGGGCAAAATGAGTAGAAAAATTAGATTACCCCAGTAATGTTTTAATCACAGGGGTGGGGGAGGGTATTAAATTACCCTTCATATTACCAAAAGTAAATACTATTTGCAATAAAAGATTCTTATAATATTTTATTACTTGCAAACCAAACACTGAAATCTTGTAAAATAAACGAAGATTACCCCCATTATCTTATATACCCCTGATCCAAACGCTCCCAAAAAGTAAAACTAGATTAGCTTATTCATTAAGTTTATTCAATAAAATCTTATGATAACGTGCAATAATTTATTTTGTTAGTCTATTTGTATAACATTGTGTTTGTAAATTAAGTAAAAGCTACTCAAAACGTGATACTCGCCTTAAGAGGACATTTGAGTCTTCTTCTCAAAAAAGCTAACCATTAACTGTTGCTTTCTAATTACTTGAGCAGTAATTGAATAGAAAAACAATACTATCCTTATAACTAAGTTGTGACAAAAAAAAAAAAAAAAAAAAAGATAAAATAATCATTTTACATAAATTTTATGTAATATTTATCTGTTTGTATAACTTAATTGTAAACAAAATATTATGATC